CGGGGACCTCTTAAGGTTATCAATTCATAGAAACCACCTCTCAGTGAAAGTAGAAATCCACAAAAATGACATCCATTTGGGGTAATAGGCATTTGGCGCAGGGGTCACAAGTGCCTTAGTTTGCCGTCCCCAAGCTCTCTCCACCTGAATGGGGTTTGAAAACCATCCCTGGGCCCTTGGGACTCCCTGGGCTCATGGTGTTCCTAGGGGTCGTGCATCAGATTGCGACAAAGTAACATCAATATCTTCAGGGAATCCTTCGATGGTGCAAAGACCCGGGAAGATTGAACCAATGGAACCTGGTGGAATGGACCAGACTGGAAGACTGGCATCCTCCACTAAACCAGTTGTTTTTTCAGGTTTCATGTTATAGTCTTCCAAGGCGTACGTGACGGTTGTTTTGTTGCATGCATGGTCTGGGCTGCCTCTGACGTGAGGTGGCTTCATCGGCGATCCACCTCGAAGACAAGAGTGGGCAGGTGAACATTGCAACCTCGAAGAATATCTTCGCCTCCCTTGAGAACGAGGTGAACCACCTTGGTCGACCGTGGCACATGCGTTGCGTTAAGGGGCAGTTTCGTTGCCGAACTTCTGCGCAGTGGTTCAGGGGTGTCACCAGGGGTGTGCAGTTTGCAGCTACACCCTACGCTGCAAGCAGTGGCAAAGCTTTTATAGCACTTTCACGCATTTTCTTGCGTGTTGTTCAACTGAGACCGAGACCATGGACTCAGCTGTTGACAAAGGGGAGACGCTGAATCAATTGGTAAGCCCCCACACAGAAGACACATTGACTAGTGCTCAGCTTCCAGCACATGTGAGGAACCCTCCAGCTGACATCCTCTTGGAGGGTGGGCAGTGGGCAGGTACAAAGATTTTGAGGCACTCCCAGGCCAGGCCATTGTCCGGAAGATTTCAACGTAGGTTCTGGTATCAACCATTTGCCAGACCTAAACTCCCATCTCAATCGTACTCTCAGACTTCTCGCCCTAGTAAAAAACAAAAAAACACACACCCTCACTTGCCCAGACACTCCATGTATGCCATATAGGCCGCTCCATTGACCCCCCAAAACTTTGAAAAACCACCCCTGGCCGTTTCTCGGCAGTCCGGACTGGAAGTCCCATTAGTCTTGTCGTCCCGTTAGTCGTGTCTGGGTTGGGGATCTACTTGAAACAATTTGTCCTCGCCTCTCGGATCAACATTCACCAGTTCAGTTCTGTTCCACTCCGCTGTTCATGTCCCATCCGATGCTGCGGCGCCATGCCGGGCAACGAATGGGTTTAAGTGAACATCTCCAGGAAACCCATAGTTTAGGGGGGTGAAAGCCACGGAGTGCCTGTAGATTTTTCCTTAAAACCCATTCATGGAATGTGGGTGCCAAAACGATAGCAACTGCTGCTGACCACCTGCGAGATCGGTTCCGAGCTCCTACGAGCGTGTCGCGACCGAAGACAGGATGATGATGACGAAGATGGACCTAAGCGCCCAAAGGACATCAAGCCTGCGCTGGTCAGCAAGAAGAAGGGCGTGACTTGGAGACCATTTGTTGGGGGAGAAGCACGCTTCTGCGGTGGCAGAGATTTCAGCTGGTTCGGGTTTGTTTGCGAATCTTCAAGACAAAACCCATGGATTTCTGGGTTGGTTCTGAAGATTTGCTACGGCTTCCGTTCTTCCTCATTCTATTCAGGCACCCTCAAACAGTAGATAAACACTAGCAGCGTATCAAACATAGGAGCAAACAACACAATATGTTTGAATTTGTCGTTTCAATGACACTCAGGTCTCGGTTTCAAGAGCATCCGTACTCCAAGGCTACATGAATCATCCTGTATTTGATGTGACCAGACGGAGGTTCGTGCGTATATTAGCTCATTGACATATAGATTTACTGTGACTTTGGCCAGGAACGCCTCAGTTTTGGATCGTTTTGGGTGCCAAAGTCCTCACGGGTCCTTTAGAGTTGCTGGAGCTTCCGCATGCCTCCGCCGCCTGGAGGAAAGAGAGAAGGATGCCATCCAGCGGGAAGTGAGCAAGTACAAGGATCCCAAGAAGGACGACCGATCCCTCCTTCGACCCCTGGCAGGTCCTCGCCGGGCAGGTCCGCGGACAGTTTGAGTCATGCTTCAAAGGCTCCAAGTGTCAGATGGCATGATCAGTTTGATGTTTAGTTGGAGGCAGTGTGTTCGCTCTGTGTTCGACCTACTCGTACTTACTAAAAAGAGAAACAAGAGTCCAAAAGGACTTCCTTTGGCGCCAGCGGGGCCGAAGAAGAAGTGAACCGGCGGCGGTCTTGACCGACGCCGCAGCTCGCAGCTCGGCGAGTCGGTTGCCACCCAAGTCAATCCTCCAGCGTATAACTACACTCGATGTTTGGCCACTCTGTCAAGATGCTTCTAGCCTTCTAGCTTCTTTGATGTTTGCTTGACCACCTGTGCAGGTATGTGCAGTCCCCAAAGACTGGGCAAGTAGAGACAGATTGAACTAACTAGAGAGTAGTGTTGGAATGAGTTAGATAGATGGCTTGAAAACTGATAAGACACTAAAAACAGCTTCGTTGGAGTGTGGAAGTGTATTTTGGCTTGCAGTGCTGGGCTTCCATGTCGTGGATCTCCACCTGCTAGCAGTAAATAATGGATCGAATTCCAGACAAAAGCATATCGGTTCCTGCTACACCGCCTTTAGGCCCCTGTTAGAGGCCTCCCAAATCCCTAGATGGGTCACTTTACCAGGTCCTTATGGCTGACTCAGCCTAGATGAAGGGAACGCAGAGGTGGCAGAGGTGATCGAAGTGTTTCTTTTAGATGCTCCGCCGTTTCCGAACCAAGAAAGCGAGCCGTCCGCTATGCAGGAGGGCAAGGAAGAGGAGGAGGCGGAAGTCGAGGGCGATGCAGAAAAGGAGGCAAAGCCCAAAAAGAAAGAGGAGAAGAAGGCGATGCGGATGTGTTCGTTCCATTCTGTGGCCTCAAGATGGCTATAGTTGCACTTCCTACGGTCTCACACTGGAGAAAGTTGCTAATTGAATCTCTTTGTTGTTCTACAGGTTTTCTACCGCGTGCGGCGCACCTCTCATAGTAAAGGCACGATAAAACAGTCTCAAATCGGCCAAAGGAACAAAGCACACAACGCAGACTCATCCATGTACGGAATAGTTACCTACGTTGGGGTCATATCAGGGTAAATGTATGTAACTATTCCTTGGTTTGGGTATTCAACTCCCTGAAGTTCTCCAGAGTTCTCCTTCTGCGTCACAGCCATTCCCATTTTCTAAAACTCCCAGGCAGCCGCTTCGCCACATGCACCAAAATGAATTCGACCTTGTTGAATGAAATCGCACCTCAGGCGAAGTCTAGTGTCTTGAAGCCCAGCAGCAAGGCGCAGGAGGAGAATCAGGCGGATTTGCAAATCCAGCCGGACCATGCAGCCGTCAAGGCCAAGTCTCTCGGCACAGGTTGACCTGGTCTGGGGCCTGGTGGTCTCCGGTTCGTCAGGTCTGAGCCCTGGGACGAGGGCAGGCAGACTCGACAGGTCTTGAGAGGGTTATTTGATCTGTTTTGTTTGGAACACGGAAAATATACGCTATACACCTACCAAGCGGTTTCAGTGTTTCAGTGTTTGTATGTCATTACAGCTGTGCTTTTGTGCTGTTTTTTGTTACCTCAGACCTTTACATCATGCAGGCTCGACCTGGCGACATGCTCGGGTCGCCGGGGTGGTTGCTGACTAAACTCCGAAGAACATGCTCCCAGAAGGGCCCATTGATTGGGATTTGATGGGATGGATCAAGAAGAACCTGCAGGTTACCTTTTCCATGGTGATTTCTTTGGGGGGGATCTGATCGGGTGTCCACCCGTTGACTCGGAAAGTGGGACACGTTCGGTCACCACGCGTTAAGCCTCGGCTCGGGACGTGGGGATCGCAGAAGAAGAAAGAGCGCTGTAACGGCACCTGACAGGCGCATCTTCCCACGTGACCATGGGTGGACTGGACTGGTGGACGAACACAGAGCAAACCCTACTTCTTCGGCCGGAGAAGCCAGTGAGTCACAGCCACAGTTGGCAAGTCATGAGGAAGATTGAAAGGATCCGGATGGATTCCAGGTTCTTGAGTTGGTGTGACCAAGTGCTGAGAGTACGAACTGCATGTTCCGTTCAAGCACCTAGAAGCTATAGAGAGATTCTATTGGCGCAATTTGTGCAAGAAATTCTTCCAGGAGTCACATGTCGGGGTGGTGTTTAGTCCCTAAGTGAGTGGATCATCGGATAATGGGCACCCTATCCTCCACACCCCTTTGGAACTGGCTGGTTGAGATTCCTCAATGAAACCCATCCGTCACTGTTACACTTCTTGGTCCTGAGCCTTTCAGTGGCGCTCCTCGCGTGGCTCAGGTACATCGGTAGAATCAAGTTGCCACGGAAGCAATTGCCCGAATCAGAGCTGGCAGAGAAAGAGAACCGGCCAACCGGTAAGATCGTGGGCAAGAAGAAGAAGTGGGCGGATGAGGAAGAAGATGATAAGAATTTCGAGTATGTGGATGAATTGCGAGTAGAAGATGATGATGATGACTAGATTAGATCTTGAGGAGAGCAAAATAGCATGAGCTTAAGCCGTAAGCCCCTGCTGCAAACAGCCAGGGCGGCGCCGCGACCCAATTCGGACAGATGGCAGCCGGCCGCGCAAAAAAAGGCGTTTCTCGGACGACCCCCTGAAAACCAGAGACGAAGCGATAACCTCATTTTCCTGTTTCCTCCACGGGTAGTAAGTAACAACCAAATCATAGAATTCAGCTGGCGAGCCTTTTCTGAAGGGATCTGAAGGGAACTTGATGTCACAACTTAAAGGTACAGAAAGACGTGGCTTGGCATCGTAGCTATGGGCCACGCTCATCAGTCACTGGAATTGGTGGGTCTTCCATCGCATTTTGAATGTGGTCAAAGTGTATCCTACCATGATTTGGCGGAACTCCAACGCGTGAAAGACCCGATCTTTGCATCAGCCCGCAGGGCGTTCGCAAGTCTGTCTTAGACACCGCAGCTTGGAAAGCAGATTTCTGGGAGCAACCTGGAAACTTTGCCTCCCAAGCAGGGAAAAAAACAACAACTCATGACTTTCAATATGTACTGCATGTAATTTAAACTTGTACTAATAAACCATTACTGTAATCATACTGTTTGCTGGGCAGTGGTGGTGTGGTTGCATTATTGAATATCACAAAGAGAGCCCGGATATCACTCCTCGGCCATCCTCGGAGGGTTTGGATCTACAGCAGCCGCTTTTCTCCTGACAGGGTTGGCTTTTCTTGGCAAGCAAAGCGCAACCGGACCGATTTTCTCCTGCTGGATGTGTGTGTGTTTTTGGTGTTTTTTGGAGGATATTTTGTTGACAAGAATGCGATATATATGGCAAGTCATCTCCAAGTCATTAGTTTCCGACCACCTCCCATCACCTGACCTCGATCTCTCCTGGAATTTCCCATACACTCCATGTATGGAATATATGTCTACATTGACCCCCCAAACCACCCCAATGTAGGCATATATGGCATACATGGAGCGTCTGGGTATAGTTTCATCCATGGACCCAAAAACCGTTCAAGTGACTAGACTATAGTCTTGTTCATTCTCCAAATGAAGCACCAACGACCGTCGATGATGGCAAGTGCCCAAGTGCCTTTCCTTGCCATATGATGGCAACACCCTCGGTGGCGAAGAACGCGATCACCTCCACTTCATCACACCTCAGCGAAGCGTGCCGAAGCATGCCGTTCTGCCGTGCCCAGCTCCTGCTGCTGAGCAACGAGTGGCGGGAGGAGCTCACCATGCTCGGCCCCGAGCTGGGCGATGGCATCAGCGCCGCCATCGAGGTCGGGAGTGAAGGAAGGTTTGGGAGGAGGAGGAGCAGGAGCAGGAGGAGGAGGTCCAATTTGGGTGATGAGTTGAGACGAGTTATGTAAGCTCCATAGATGGGGAGTTAAGTAAGTAGGCTGAAAGGTGCTGCAAGAACCAAGCTTAAGTGGTTGTTGATGGGGGGAGAGATGACCCCTCCAGGGTCACGAGGAGTTTGGTGTACCGGGATTGCAGCGAGTCACATGCTTTTTGTGGGAATCTTCTTGAATCTTCACTGCATATGCACATGAAGAAGGCCAACACACTGTTTAGAGCCTGGCATTTGTCAATTGATGCCCTCACTTTAGCATCATTTCACCTGCAGCACCAGCGAGCGCGCACATACGTGCGCGCGCGCACGTATATGATCGTATACGTACACAGATCGAGTCGCGCGGCTCGACGGCAGGAGGAAAGGGACCCCCGGAATTTGCTCATCAGCTTCACCTTAGTGAAGAAGGCACTGGACGGATGTCTTCATGCCGATGCTGCTTCGTTGCTGGTGCTTTTCAGCATGTGGCCAAACATATCGACAGGTGTTGGGAGACTTTCCGGCGGCCTGTGCCTCCCGAGAGACGGTGCAGTCCCTCTTTGAGACGCTCTCCTCCTACTTCCCCATCACGCTGCCTGGTGTCAACCAGCTCGGCCGAATGGCCGACGCCACGGAGACGAAGTGCGGCACCATGCGACCTTTGCGATCCGAAGATCTCATGACATCCCATGACCCATCTCCCTCAGTGGCTGAGTCGAAGAGCTCCCAGAGTCGAAGAGGACACACGAGCGCGGCACGAGTGAGCGGTACGAGCGAGCGAGTGGCATGAGTGACAAGCATCCCAGAGTGGAGATGGTTTGAAAAAGGGGTGTTCCTTCTGGATGTGGAACTTCCTAACTTCCTGTGTTTGAAACATCTTAAGAACGACCTCCAAAGATCCAAGACGACCGAAGAGAAGAGGTCCCGTCATGAGTGGCGTCGAAGGTGAAGGACACCCTCGAAGCATTGTGAGAAATCTTTGCGGCCCATTCTCTTCGTTCACTTCTACTCATGTTGGGTATCACATTAGTCACCTTGGAGATGAGAAGTTGCTGCAGGGAGCTGCTTAGATCGCGTGCGCACTTGCGCTTTGTGTAACATGTATGGGCAAGGAGACGCCAGGGCCAAGCAAGACTTAAGACTTAAACAGCCCGGATAGTTTCACGGGGGGTTTGCATTTCTAGGAGTTTGAGTCCCATTCGATCTTTTCAGACAGTCCAATGATATGCAGCTTCATAAGTATAGAATATGTTCATGCCAGGCTGAGCCCATCAGCGGTTGCGCTCACCTCCGAGGTTCCAACCACCCAAAGGGGACAAGGTGGGAATCACTGGTGATGACTTGAGACAGGCCTTGTCGCAGGCGAGCGAACGAGTCCTGCAATGCGTTGCGCTAGCTAAACTTAAGCTTAAGCTTTGTGTGCGGAGGTGTTGGTGTGGGTACGGATATACTTTGGTTGGCCATGCATGCAGTCATCCTCGGAATGGGCAAGATGTCCAGGGCATTACAGGTTCCTATTGGCTGTTTCCAGTCCTTCTTGTGACTTGAGAGCGGCTGGGTGACCATGGTTCTGAATCGCAGGGGTTCAAAAGGACTGAAGGTGGAGACTGTTTCATGTCAATCAGTGGAGACATGCAAAGCTCTGAAAAATCTAGGTTAGGCGCCGCCCACCTAAGGGGCTGTGCATGTGTCGAGTGTCGAGGGGCCTGAGGATTGGCATCCAGTGAGGGCTGTTTCAAGCTTCGTCATCCCGCACCCTCTCCTGCTAGAGATGTGCCACAGGCTGCCAGACAAACCCCCCTCTGGTTGAAAGTCGTCCTGAGATGTCATAGCTGTGATTCCCTGCCGACCCCGCCTGCCCGTCTGCCAGACTCCTCACGCAGGCGTTTTGCTCCTCCCAGCGGCTGGCAGAATTAGCACCTCGGATGGGCCCCTGGAAGTTCCTTAATGGGACACGACCCCATAAAAACGGGCACTTGTACCATTTTGTACCCATTTTCCGAGGTACTTTGAGCGAACCACTTCTTAATTAATGTGCCCAAACTTCCCAGGACTCAGAGCTGTGGATTCTTGAGGGTCGGGTAGGGGTCGTAGGAACACGACGCCCCGCGTAATCGCACCCGGACACTTTCTCAAAGGACTTTCAATTTCGCTCGCGTCAATGCCAGGGCCCTGGGAATTCACTGGCTTTTTGCTTGAACACCTTGAACTGCCGGACTCCAAACCCGATTCCGATGACACTTCATCGTCCATGTGAGGGTTTTCAACTAATTACACCAATATTGTTTCTTGCTTTTGGCTTTGGCTTTCCGGGAGGGGCATAGCTTTGCAATGCGGGCTCAGGAGTCAAGGTAAGAACAACAACGAGAGTCAACACTGGAGCAGACTGCCTTGAGAGTAGACCTTCTGTTAGACTCTAGCAAGCCCGAAAAGAGGGCACGTAGTGCAGATGATGCTTTCATGGGTCATCCAAAGCATGAACAAGCTTGTCAGCATGTGACCCAGGTGATTCCGTTCCTCCTTGATGCCAGCAGCTTGGCTGCTTCTTCCGTGCGTCCGTCATGGCCCATCTCTCCGTCCGTCATGGACACTTTCCGGAGGTGTTTGTTTCTCAGAATGACCGAAGACGTGCTCAGAAGAGAGCTTGACATTTCTTGTTGGGACTGGAAGACGGAGAGTTGATAGGTGCAACAAACCAGCGCCACAGATCAATTGAGTGAAATCCGGCCATGTGGTCAAATGCCCGTGGTGGCACACAAAATACATTTGGTGGACCTGAGCTTCATTAAGCTGCCTGCCTAGGGCTCACCCAATTTCACTGTGCCAGATCGCCTGGAAGTCGACTCCCGTCGAGCGAGGTAAAGACATCGAGGCCGATGTGGACGCGACGGTGGCACAAGCGATGCAGACCTTGTGCTTTTGTCTTCAGCTCCTTGGTCGGACCGAGGGCAGGTGGCCCGAGTAAAGCACAGTAGCCATTGTTGATGCATTTGTTGATCGAGGTGCCTGTTTGGTGTTAAGAAACGTTAAGAATCTCTATAGCGTCTATAGATCTTGGTGGAACCTGTTCTCAAACCTGCTGGGGTGCTTGGGATTGTTGCAGTCTGATTCCGCTGAGCCGCCGGCGCAGCAAGGAACTTTGGCGCTACTGCGGCGCAGAAGCATTTGAAGCACATCCTAGAGACTTGGCAGTGCTCTTCTCATGCTGACTGATTACATCGATAGATATATTATACATTATTATACATATAATCCCTTCCACCTATTAATAACAGAAGGGCGGGTCATGGGGGGTGGGTTTTTGGGTTTTTGCTTTTAGGAATTTTTAGAAGTTTGAAGGAAACTCCAGAATAAACGGGCCCCCCCCTCCCCCCTAATAAGGAAACCTCGGTCGCATTTTTTCTAAATAGGGGGTCCCTGAAATCGGGGGACCTGGGAAGAGCTTCAAAACCAAAAAGTCATCCAGAAAAAAAGTATAAAATCCTTTATTAAGCTCGTATCGAAAATTCAAAAAACCTCCAGGTCGAAGGGGTCTTCCTTTTCTTCATTAGAATCATTAGACTAACAACCAAAGCTGAGTCCGATTGCGTGAGTCCGTGCCATTGGAGGAAGGAAGACCTGCTGGTGTAAGCGCGGCGTGTCATGGTGGACAGGTGTGGTCAGTTACGGTTGTTTTTGGAACCTAATAAAAGAAACTACCCCCAAAATCGACCATGTTGGTAGTTTAGTAGCGGTTTGAAAGGGCGGCAATTTAAAAACAAATATAAACCGTATTTGGGGGGGATCCGACACGACATTTTTTTTTAAATTGGGGTCCGTTTTTTAATAGGTACTCGGGATTACATATATACACACCATCTAGAGATGCTGAAATTCAGAACCAGAGGGGTCAAACATCTCCCCCTCAATGCTTAGACCCCTGCTTTGAGATACTTTTTCAGCTTCGACGAGGGTCTTAGAAGGAGCTGAGTGGTCATATTTGCCCCCTTGCTAACATCTCCCACAACGTCTACGGGCATTGTGTTGCTTGATTCTTCCAGGTTCCTGTCACGTGGCTCGTGCAAATCCAAGGAGACGTGTCGCGACCAGGTGTGTCGAACCAAGACCACCTGTGGCGCCGAGTTTTGCAAAGCAGCTCCTTGCCGAGAGAGTGGTGAAAAACTGAAGCCCGAAACATGAGACAATGATGGACCACATTGTTTTTTGTTCATGCTCTTTCTTTGAGGGGGACCCAGCCTCAAAAAAGCATTCAGTTTGAGTGTATTCCTTCTTTGGAGGCTTCTGAATGGACCGTCTCCCTATGTCACGCACACCCACACGGAAAGTCCTGCTGAAATAGTATCCTTTGAAGTGGTAGATTTTGACCAGCTATTTGATAGCTCCCCACAGTCCACTCAAATTGTAACAATGGATTTCTTAAGAAGCCGATGCTTGTCAACCGCAGCAATGTTGAAATGCATATTGAGTTTACAGGTTGAAGTTCTGATCGCAACCATTTTGGGGGTGGAGTTGCCTTCGGTGCGAAGCCACTCCGAAGCTGGACCTCCACATCCCTTCTTGAACATATACAGTGGCTTCATGTGGCACAATCCCCAAAAGGTGGTTTATTAGATTTTATAAGCCTATATAATATATATACTCTATATATCCGATATTTAAAAAACACCTTGGGGTGCCAGTGCCATCTACTCTCCATCCACTATATATATATATATTTCACACATGGGACGACCCAATCATCCACTTCTTGGACGTGCCAATCATCCAAGCCACCTGCCCATCCCACGATCGTGTCCATCTTCGACGTGCCAATCCGCCTTCCTGAGGTCACGGAGTCCCTGAAGGTGTCGCTCCAAGGAGTACCTGCTGGCTTGCACCCGCATTGGCTCGCCAAGGATGCCGCTAGGTGATTGAGAAAGGTGATGGCATTTGAGGAGAGATGGCATCAGATTGCCAGGCATGTCAGATGGCACCAAAAAAAACATTTCAGCCCATGAGAATCCCAATTGCTTGCAAAAGGGTGTTCAACAACTATAACATCAGCATAAGGTTCATCAACTCTTTCGCTGTTCTTCGACAGCATAAGGTCACTAGTTCAACAAGTCAAGCACCCAGACAGTCCGTAAGAATTAGGCAGGCTGATGTTGACCAGTGTGGGAAACACACACAGGATCCACACAAGGGGCTGGGTTGGATCATGTTGGACCCTTCAAAAAAGCATAGACAGTTCTCGTACGTTCATAGAGGCGTAGGTCTTGTACTGGTGTGAATTAAAAATAGGCAGACTGACCTCCCAAAGACTGCCTGGAAAATAGACTCTAGACCCAAACCCATTGCTTGGGGGACTCATGGGGTCTCCCCATTCAAAAACACACCCGGCCCAGTACCGGACCATAGTCTAGTCGTGTTGCAGATTTTGTTCAAAGCCGGACCGCACCGGGATACCTGATCATAGGGAACTCTTTGAGGTAAGGGAATAACTTCCCCTAACCCAGACACTCCATGTATGGCATATATATGCCTACATTGGCCCCTGAAGCCACCCCAATGTAGGTAAATATGACATACATGGAGTGTCTGGGTAATAGATTAGGCAAGCGCTTAGTGAACTCCTTGAGGCGTTTTCTTCTTGGCTCATCGCTGGGATCCACATCGGCGCGGTTTGAGCGAATCCTGCCCGGAACATTCGCCTGGCCGTGCCCAAAGCGCCCTAACATCGGCTCCACCGGGGCTGGGAGTACGGTGCAACATGATGCAACATGCTAGTTGGATGATGGGATGATGTTGCTCGACATATGAGGGCGACATCTTTTGTGTGGGTGCAAATGGACCTGATCCAAACACCGGTCTCGGAGCACAACATTCAAGAAATGCATGGTTTGGAGTGTTGGACCTGCTTGGCTGGACGCGCGGTCAGTTCGTCGACGCCGGAGAGGTCGTTCCTCAACTCCAAGAGATGGCGGACGACGCCTCGAAAGGCGCTGTGAGGGATGGGCAACGGCGAGGGGCAACGGCGAGCTTGTTCCAGTCGATTTGTTTTTTTTCTCCGACGCGAGATCAAGAGACAGGAACCATTCCCGGATTCTTCTGCGGACCTTTCTCCAAAGTCCATAGACTTTCACCCTTTGTCACCCAGCGCGGACTTCCAGTACCAAGTGAAACGCTTTCATTGAACTCCTAGTGGTGCTGGAGATGTGGTTTTTGCATGCTTTTGCACCAGGCCGGATGTCCTTGGCCTCTGAGGGTGCCCGGCAGCTCTTGCTGAGTGCCGCTGCAGCACATCCGGCGACCCGGTGCAAGTTGGGTTTCACCCGGGGAAGACACACATGTGGAAGACGATTTAGTGGGTTTTCAGGTTCCATGTGGGTCTCTTCCAGGGCTTTGTATGAATATAGTATGAGGACGACCCAACTCCCCGATTTAATCAACTGTATTCTGTTGATTGCCTTGGAAGGAACAGCGTGACTCATCAGCAACGTCCGGCCGCCGATGGATGAGAAGGGTCTTTTTGGACCCCTGTTTGTTATTGTCGTGTTTGTTTTCCCAGTTTCTTATTCTTGCGAATTAATGCTACCTGCCCAAAGTTGATTCACTGAGAGATTGTTGTCATTCAAGTTTAGCAACATTTCGCTGGAACGCGCATTTTGTCCACTTGCCAAGTGCATTGCAGCTTGCAGCTGGTGGGGAATGCACATGGTAACTCACTAGAATAACAAATATAATATAATATAATATATGTATATTAACAAGTATTACAATTTCACTGGACATGTCTAGAAGACTGGACAATGTTTTGCATGTTTTTTTGTTCAAGAGATGGGTCGCCCCATGTCCTGCATGGCCAGAGCACCACGATTTGATAAAGAAACACATTCAAGGTTGGGAGCCAAGTCTTGGGCCTATGTGTTCTTCCCACTTCTTACCACACACTCAGGTGCTTTGGCAGACTAACATGAACAGTGAAAATGGACCTTTGTTTCACGATTTTCATCTACCACCCAGTGACCCAGTGATTTTTAGGGTCCATATTAATTTCCGGAAGGGAGACCGGGCAGCATTTGCTGGCAGTTTGAGAAGGTGGTTTTTTCCCAGACAACCTAATTGTTCAGGCCTGAAATCCCGTCGGGTCCTTGCAACTCACGCTCAGATTGTCTACGAGTCTGTCTGGTCAGCCGTGATGAAAGCCTTCTTGGAGGGGAAGGAGCGGGAGCGACATCCTTAAGTGGGGGACAATGGCCGGATGGCCCAGAACCACACACAGATGGAGCCCTTCATCTAGTATACAGTATGAAGAATGCCAATGATGAGAATTTGCCACCAACCAGCAGAAAGTTCCGCACATCAAAACCAGGATTAGTGCCCCAACTAGTTGACATCCAATTCATGCTTGTGTCGTCCAGTGGATTTGGGCGCCATCATCAATCAAGGAATTTTCAGCTAATGTTCAGTGTCTATAGTATGCAAGAGTGTGGCTGGCTCCCGACAGGTGAAGATCACCCTCAAATCATAGATATCCAAGGGTTCCAAGGGCTCAAAGCACGACCCAAAAACACCAGGGTACAGTACTGTTGACAGAAACATGTGAATACATGATAATACATGTAGGTCACTTATTCGCGGCAAATAGATGCAAACAGTATCAACTAGTACAGTACTTTTTGTCATCTTTTGTCCCTCAGAACCGCTCGGCCAGACTTGCGTCGCTGTCTCGGGACGCGGTGATACTGCGTGCGGCCTCAAGCCTCAAACCTGCAGTCAATAGCAAAGGCCGTGGTTCTTCTATGCCCTTCTCAAAATCACTGGGTGTCGTTAAACGCACACGGCACACGCAGCTTGGAAGGGGGTTCGGGTGGGACATCAAGCCTTCCGAATTCTTGGAAGTTTTGGAACTTACAGGATGCTTTCGGGTGACCTTGAGTTCAATTTGTTTGAGCGGCACTTTCAGGAGGGTGAGGAAGCCTTCTTCAGCATCGATGCTTTGGAATTCATGGTTGAGCTGCTGCAGAGGCAGCAGGCGCTTTTGGTTCAACCGTTGGGTCCCGCAGACTTGCTCCGTCACGGACCATGTAGGTTTGAAGCCGCTTCCTTTTGGCGCTGTCCAGTCGCCGTGGTCGTCGGCGCTTTCCTGTGGGGCGGTCACGTGAGATAGGGCCATGAGTAGCTTGGTATTAGCTCCTGTTCGTGACACGGGGTGAAGGAACAGAACCTCCCCCACTACTTGAGGATGGAGAAGGAATAGCGCCAGGAATCCCGCCATTTCAACCACGTCTTCGGACCCCTTCGTAGTTTGGTGCCGACCAATTCGTTGAGATCAGAGGTCACCCCGGACACCTCGCTACGCCACCCTTCGCGCCCGCGTGGGCGACGGAGCGAGACTGCAGGGGGTCTTCACTGCCAAGCAGTTGCAGCCCGCCCTCAAGGGCGCACTGGAGACGATGAGGACTATCCTGCCCCAAAGTGAAGAGCAACTGCATCCGCTGGTGGCATCGGTGGACGCTGGGTCTGACATTTTTACAGGGCCCGACCTGTACCCAGGAGTGCTCCTACCCAGCAGTTCAGTGGAGAAAGCCTGCAGGGCAGCTTTTTGGGGGGACCTGTCCCCCAAGAACAACGAACAGGTGGAAAATGGTGAACCCAGGGACCCCGCGGAAGTGAAGGAGTTCGTGTTACTCTCCAACAATCCTGGAAGTGGGCCACTTGGCCACCCCGGGCTATGTGTAGAGCCTCGTCTTCCACAGGGGCAGGGGTCCACTTCGTTTCTTGGAATCATGAGACAACGTCCTTCGACCAGCAAAACTTTGGGATCGACTTCACTTGGCACCGGACGGCTGCGCATCATGCAGTGCCGGACAGCGAGAAGGAGCGATTCCGGAGGTACAGTACTGTACCAGTGGGATGGATCTGAACAGAGACGTTTGGATGAGACATCGGCATAGGGGAGTTCTGTTAAGATATGGCACAGTCTACCATTGTTACGCCTGGAATCTCAGAATCTCAAGCGGAAAATGAGTACAAGTACCCGGTCTTTATGGGTAGTAATGTCCCCCTTTTCTAAGGTACGTGGGAGTGTGGAGGTCACAATGCTTTTGTTTGTGCGTAAACTTCCAACTTCTAAGTGATTGATTGTGTGGTTCCCACCCTTCTCCAACAATTATGATGCATGCAACTTACAACAGTGTGTCCTAAACATATATACCCGTGGTGCTAGCATTTCTCAAGGCAGCCAGACTGTCACGGCATTTGACCAAGGAACTGGTGAAGCATCACGGCTTATATCAGCGGAAGATGCCTTGCGGTGTGTGAAGGGAGGCTTTTTGAAACAAGGAATCGGTGGACTCTATTCACACAGTCAATCACCTGGCTTTGGGTACGGAAGAGAAACAATCATCACCAACAATGGGCGCCCAGTTTTTTGCCTATTTGTTTTGGTAAGTTGGTGGAACATGCTTGGGTTTCAACATCTATAGCCATGCACTGCATAGCCTAATGTCAGTGGGAACAATATTGATGTACCTTTGGACTGGCGGCAATGGATCTGAGTCCTTCATACTTGTAGGACATGGACATGACGCTTGCAAACCAACCACCTGGAACTGTTCAGAAGTATTTGTGCTTGTTGGGATTTGCCAAAAAATGGCTGTCCCACCTACTAGCAGCGTGAAGCTGGTTAAAACAAGCGCTTTCACTATTTTCACTCCTAATGCGGAAAACCACTTTTAGTGGGTGGGGCACAGTTCAGAGGTCTATGAATCGATAAGTAGAACATAGGTGGAATCCCTGGGCCATGCGGAAACATGTGTTTTTGTGTTGAGTTCAAAACTTAAAAAAAATAAAAAACGCAATTTGATACAGCTTTGAGCTGCGATTCAGGTTTGCCACCTCCTTTTGTTTGTTTTAGCCATGGGCCCAAGACGGGCCCATCCAACTGTGCCAGAAAGACTGGGCAAGAACGTCAGTACTCCCACAAACACTGCACAACATCTAGAAAGAAACATATATATATATATATTATTTTTGTTTGTTCAAGCTGATTGGATGAATGCGAACTCTACTTGCCCACCATCCCTACTTAATGAATTAACTATACCCAGACACTCCATGGCACTGCCATATATGCCTACATGCCTACATTGACCCCCCAAACCACCCCTGGCCTGATCGGCAGTCCTATGGCAGTCCCAACGTCTCGACGACGCGGGCGACGGGTCCAGTGGCCTGACCCAAGGCGCTTGGCGCGGCTGTCAGTGGCCTCCGAAGCGCTTCAGGCCTGGCAGATGGCACTCCTCGGCGCTGCAGGCCAGGCCTGGTATTAAGAAAGAATCCCCGCGGGAGAGGGAAAAACAGCTTGGAGTCACATGGAGTTGGGAGAGGTGGAGAGGTTTGGAGGAGTAAGACCATGTCACTCGGTGTTTCGTTTCAATGTTTTGATACGGAACTTCGAGTCTTGAGACAGCAAATGGACTGGATACATTGGCTCCTATTACCTGTAACACTCAGTAGTACACTCAGTATGCTCAGTCAGTAAACAAATCACTATTTCTGAGCAAGGCCTACAACCTCAACATCATCATCTACTGACTGTTACTGGTAATAGGATAGACCCAATACATTGATAATTATGGATACACATGGGTACAGTCACCACTTGCATGTCATTGGACCCGCTTGGCACAGGCGGCCCATGGTCCTCTTGGGCCACTGCGTGGCAAGAGCACCTGCACCTGAGCTGAAAACCACCAGGGACGCAAAACGGGGAGGTGCTGAGGATTCACATCATGTCCTGGTTTTGTGGATCAGGTGTAACCTGGGGTCCTGGGGCATATGCTTTAAATTTTCCAGGTTCCTGGACAGCAAAATCCGAGATGTTGCCCTCCAATGTGGCTCACTCCTTCTTGCAGACTCACTCCTTCTTGCAGATGGATTCTGGTCGCGTGGATTCTGGCCTCTCGGGTAGTACCGGTCTAAGGGGCAAGGCTCTTTCAAGGCTCTACGAAAAAGAAAAGAGATGAAGCTAGTGTTGAGCTAACACTAGTGGTGCCTAGTGGTGCCATGCATGTATTTGAGATCTTCCTTGTTACGAGGCAAAGGTCTCTCCGCAGAGCCCGGACCGGAGATCGGATTTGGACCGAAGTACCAGCGTTTGAAGACTCGGATGTCGACCGACCCTCTGACCCTCTGACCCTCGGTTTAGTGGGCCTTGGTTCCACTTTTGTTTGAGAGATGCCATGATTAAGCAGTTTTCGAATGTGTTCGATCCTTTGAGGACCTCCCTTTGGGAGCATTAGCCAGAGAGCCACAGAGGATTTTCGTGCAGCTCTTGTTAGACGACTGTTAGAGCAATCAGACCAAGGCCTTAAGCAGCCCCGACTTTCGCTTCTGGAGTTCACAGGGATCTATGGTGACTAGTGGTTAGCAACATCATCGATGTCAAGAATCTAGTGGAATGTTTTTGTAAACCAGGCGTTCCTCATGAAACATGCCACACCCCATCCTTATCCACACCCAAGCATAGTTATGGAACATCTCTGTGGTTCCGAGCTTATGCAGGAAGACTTGTTTGGTTTGTTCGTTTTTCGGGCCACATCATCAAGCTGCGCTCGTTGGCATCGCTGAGGTCCTCCAAACCCGCCAGCGACCCTTGCGTCACCGCTCTGGTGCAAGCGGTGCGCTGGATGCAATGACCAGGGGTATTCGGTCGGAGGCCTGACGCTCTGACGAATTGATACTTTACCTCAGGATACCTCAGGGTAGATGTGGTTATATATTGGGTGGACTAAGTTGCGGAACACACGTTGTTTTATCCGACCAAATTTTCCGTTGATAGGCAAGTAGCAGCCGCTGAGAAGACAGCTATCCTCCATTTCCGTTTTCAAGCTTGTTTTGGTCAGAAGTGTAGAGATTGATTGAGGTTTGCAGGGGCTTTTGTCATTTGCTTTGCCGTTGCTGAAGGAGTGGCATCAAATCTATGTCTATGTCATGTCAACGGCAGTGTTATTCCCACTCTTTAGCTCTGTGTATTTCCTTCATGCGAGAAGATAGTTTGCAGGTAGATATTTGATCCTAGGTGGTCCACTAGAGAAACCGTACGTTGGTGCCCAGAATCCTTTTGCATTTGTTCAAGTTGGGGAGCCTTCCAAGCAGTTGCATTTTTGCAGCTGTCCGAGACCACTAGGCGATTAATCCACAAGACCCAAGTCACGTGGACAACTCGAGTTTTGTTTGGTGTTTCCGGACCTTGGACTGTGCCATTTGAATATGATTGTTTTGGAATCCACTGGTATTGCATGGTGAATCATGGTGATTGGGTGGGTCAATGGCTTCAAAGCGGCCTCCGGCAAATACCGAGAACCTGCCGCGCTGGCCAGCTAGTGAGGTGTGCGAGATCATGCCCCGGGAGATTGACCAAGCGTTCTCGTTGGCAAGCTGGCAGAACTAGCTTCTAGAGCTTGGTGCATTTGATAATCCAGATGGGTAGGACAAACTACAGTGGAACTTGTTGCAACTGGATAGTGTGATACCCCTCATGATAAGAGGGTAAGAAACATATATTATAGTTTGGATGTTCCAAATGCCCAACGGATTAGATGATTTGACGAGATGATAGGATTATTTTACCTGACTGGATCAAACTGAACTACAGACTCCACCTCCTTGGGACTTGCAGAAGTTGATGAACATTTTGAAAAAAACTGGAACAAACCTCATTTTGTGAAAATTGGAACTTGCAGACTCCACTTCCTTGCCCGAACCACCAGGGGTCGAACGGAGTCGAACGGAGTGAGTCGACACCAGAGCGATAGCCAAAGACGAAGAACACCAGGCGACTGCTGACGCCGTCCGGTGAGTCCTGTGAGTCCAGACCTAGGCTGAGCGGCTTCTAAAGGTGTCTTCCACTTCGGCTGAGTGCCTTGGTGAGATTGATCAACCACAACTGTCCGGGTTTGAGCCGGTTGTTTTTCAGCTTGCATTCTGCAGCGATCAGTTCATTCTGCTATCGCCCACTGGTCTAGACACATCCTTGTGCTCCCACACAATCGTGGCATTGCTGTAATGTAGAATCTTGATCAATAAAGCCTCCCGGACATGGATTGCAAAACGGGGGCTTGCTTACATTGTTCCAAAGAGTCTGCATGAGGTGGCTGCCTTTGGCCATGCCACAACTTTTGGCACACACTGCTTTGAGCTTGGCCAGAGCTGAGCTCAAGGGCGAAGGCGCTGGAACGTCTGTGGGAATGGAGCGGGGGCAAGAAAAAACCTCAGGCTCAAAGATCTCAAAGGTTCCACCTCAGAAGCTGTGGATGTTTGTTTGTGTTTTCTTCGTCATGGACTTTGTCACATAGCATTTTCTCCAAAGACTCTTGAAGCCCATTGTCTTCTTACACAAAGAATCAGTCTCAGCGTGGCACCGGAATTCAGAGACTCCACCATCCATGTCTAGTTTGGACATGGTTTTTCTTTCAAGACATGGCCCATGGCTGGATATGATCGACCAAATCTCTGGCAGAGAGGTTCATTCTCCGGCTGCCTATCGAGCTTCGTGCTCCGCTTCGTGCTCCGGATGTCCGACGGGCAGGCCGTGAGAACCGCCAGAACCTGGGCCAAGCCTTGCTGTTAAGCAGCTCGGCGTGAGGTCTCAGGTCTCACAGTGCTCTGGGTCCGGGTAGCGAAAGAGTGTGGGGCGGAAGGAGAATCATCCAGTCCAGAGAAGATGCATGAGTAAAGGAGTTATATGGGGTTATATAATGATAATATAGTGCCCCCCAGACAAGGATACACTATGATACATGGAAACACCTAGTGAATTCCACTTATTTTTGTGTCGTAAGGAGCCAACTTTTCCACTACCATCGTTTTCTGTCTCTTGGGTAGCTCAAGTCATGGATGGCTGATTTACTTTTGCCGCGGGCAGGTATTAATAACAGGGTAATACGATCTGGTTGCAGTGACGTGCAAACCACCCCGTTGATTTGGGGTTGGCAACAACATGCAATCTCTCATTTGTGTGTTGCATATATGGACCACATGCACAACACATCCATGCTATACATGCTGCAAAGGCATGCTTCCACTGCTTTCCTATATTTTCTTGTGGTCGTCAAGAAATCGCTTTCATTGAGTTATGGAAACGTGATGAAAGCAACTGGTTCCTTTTCATGCATCGACTTTTGTGAGCACTATGTCGCAATGTGATCCAATGACAGTTGTAAATATAAATATAAACAGATAGAAACGGTGGATCCCGCACTAAAAATGTATTGGACACCGTGCCACTATTTATTGGGGGGACCACCATATAAAATTGCATACCCCATATGTCTTGGTGCTTGCCCGTGGCTCCGATCAGGAGCCTCAGAGATTTTCCGGCAGCACGGTGCCAGTGGGCACTTCGAGGTGGGCTCGAGCTTCAGGGAGCGCGCTTGATGCGAGGTACGTAGATTGATGGTGGGCACATCCAAGTAGCAGTAGCAGCGCAAACAATATCCAGCTGGTGCCAGGGTATAAAGGGAGGAAGGTCCTGAAATTCCTGTTGGGGATCTAGAATCCGTGAGGAATCAAGAAGTGTTGACATGTCAACCACAGATAGCTTGCTATGCGCGCACGTGCCATTGGCGGTTCATTTCAAGGAGAAATTTGGGCCTTTCAAGAACACGTCAAAGCTGAGTATTTCGACAGTTTTTTGACTGAGAAGATCTAAAAGCTTTAACAATTTGGCGCGAATAACGAGTTTGTTCGTGGGACTGTGAAGTGGATTCACTTGGTGCACGTGACTAGTTTCCTGGCGCTGGCCGCACCTGTTCCCATGATGATGCCATGGCAGGCTCTGCGTGGCATGTGCCGCGTTTGGCCAACTGTACGGCAATACTTCACCACTCAGTCGCACCTTAGTCCCAAACATTGTTGGCAGGTGAGTTCACATGGGAGACTGTGCAACACCAAAGGAGTTGTTTCGTATGGGTCGTGGCATTTGAGCGGGTACAAGACCGCTCAGATTTTCTCACAAAAGTGGAGAGTTCATCGCGTGGTTAAGATCACCTTTCACGGGCTTCTCAAATCTCAAGAAGCCTGGCAAGTACATCACATCGATGGCAACAAAGCCAACAACCACTTGGACAACCTGGAGTACGTGACCCCTAGCGAGAACATGAGGCACTCACACTCAAGCCCCTCAAGGCGCTGCAGCGGGCCTGCACTCTCCAAGCCTATTCTTTGGAGACCTATTGGGTCCACAAACTGGACCACCAGCCCATCCGCCACAGCAGTAGCTCAGCAGCTGGGCATGGCTCAATCTACAGTGTCGGCCTGTTGCCGGAAGAAGTCTGCAGCTAGAGGCTTTGAGTTCAGATACGAAAACGTTGGCCATGATAGTTTGTTAGGAGAAGAATGGCGGCTGATGGTCGATCCATCCTCCGGCGCAGAAGTGCCAGGAATAATGGTGAGTTCCTTTGGCCGCATAGCACCGCTTACAGGGTTGATAAGCTGGGGACGCCGAACTGCACAGGGATATTACAAGACATCGGTGCAAGGCCAGAATTTCCTTGTCCATCGACTGGTAGCGTTTGCTTTTCTTGGGCCACCGCCTTCAGTTCAGAAAGTGGTTGTGAATCACAAAGATTTGGACAAAGGCAACAATGCTGCTGAGAATCTGGAGTGGGTCTCTCACGCAGAAAACATGTCTCATTTTCATGCAACATCTGCTCTTGGGCGTGGGACTGTTGCAAAGCAGATTTGGAGTCGGCCTCATAGGTCCAATGACGAGTGGACATGGCATCACTCCATGAAAAGTGCCGCAGCTGAACTTGGTCTTCGAAAGCACCAGGTCTCCAATTGCACGTGCAGAAAACTGCACCAAGCTGGAGGATATGAGTTCCAATTGTCAGATGCACCACACATGTGCCCTTTGCTTCCTGGTGAAGAGTGGCGTGATGTTGACCTCCTGTTGCTCCAAAAAGACAGAGAAATCCGTGGGCTTTGATGATCCCTGCAAATTAGGATCAGGGCAAAGTTCAACAGGTTTTGGCATCTGTTCGGGAGAAATCCACGTAGCCATGCGCACGCACTGCTGGGAAGGAAGAAGGCTGCTATCAGCCAGTGTCCAATGTCCAAGCCTCCAACGGGATTGTTTGCAGCGCAGACGGTACCTCGGCCAAGCTGTGCAAGCAACATTGGCAGGCAGTAATTGCCTCGTGGGATATGTCAAAAAAATTGCGGAGCGTGGGAGGGAAGGGCCAAGCAAGAGAGAGAGAGAGAGGGAGAGAGAGCCAGTGAGAACTGTTGGGCAATGCCGGGCAGTGCATAATAAAACTCTCAAACAAAGCGAATGACTGCTATCCATGACGGCACCACCATCGTCACCACCACCACCACCACCACCACCAACAACAACAACAACAACAACAACAGCAACACTTACTGTACAGTACAGACTTTCAAACTGCTCCAGTCCATTTACTGCTGGAAATGGCAGCTTGTGCTCCAGGAATCATAGCAAGGGGGATTCGGATCTGTGTTTGTTAGACATGTTTTTGCTTTAAAGTGGACGTTGTCAAAGCATGAAGAGGTGGGGGTAGGTCATGGTTGTTCAGTCGTGCAACGTAGACGTAAACTCCACCCATTTGGAGATGTAAAGCCATTCTGCTAGGGGGGCTTTGTCTACCAACCGTCCACATTTTTTGCCATGTTGTACGTTTGTAGAGTCGTCTCGCATTTCACCGAGGGGCGCCATCAGGGCCAAGGTACTGGCTGGGCATGGTATGGTTTCGTTTTTGGATGTTCTTGGTATTCGTTCCGTTCTGCGAATATTTGATTTGCCAAAAGCATCGCAAGGATTTTGACGTTAGACCATTAGGCCTTACAAGATCTTACAAGTGGATCATGGCAAACATACATAAGCAATCATCAATGGTGGATTTGGGGGCTGACAGTTGGAATATAATGTTTTGACCATGCTAATTTTAGACCACCTCATATACCATCAGATATCCTCCATCCAAAACAGCATCCCTTCATATCCATCCCAGTTTTTTCTCTCGCGACGCAGATCCTCGCGTCCCTCGCCGATGCCCTGGACCTCCCCACGGACGAGGGCACTCGTTGGGTCGCCGCGCAGATCGCCACGGCCTTGGCCCCTGGGACCAGCAGGGGGACTGAATGCGGGAAGGGTGAAGGGGGTGGGTGGAGCCTGGTGGGCGTGAGAAGATCTTGAAGAAGTGGGAGGTAGTGACTCAATAGTGGGAAACTGCTGAGATGTGTATTTTTTTTTT